CATACAAGTCGATGCACACGACCAAGGGCCTGGGCGAGGTTCCTGGACCTACAGTTCACTTTGACCTTTGAATTTCTTGTTGTGCGCGGTCACACAGTCACCCGCAGCGGCCTGAGGCCGAGCAGCGCGTGGTCGCACTGCTCGCTGGGCCTGGGCTTGGGTTACAACGCCCAGGCCGCTGCTGAACGCGATTTACTGCATTCCTGCCGGCCCGAATTCGAGTTCCACCACAGAAATACTTAAGACTTCAGTCCGCGTTCATAGCTAGCAACAATATCAGGAACATTATCCATCAGTTCCCGTCTGCTAAACCAACGGTCTTCAGAGGCATCTTGGAACTGGAATCTTACTTTATACTGCTTCTGAGGTCTGCCTCTTCCACCAGTAGAAAAGAATCCATGGTCAGTAATTTTCTCAACCACATAGCTGCCATTCATAGAAGGAGGTATGGCAGATGGTCGGTGAGGAAATTCTGTTCCTTCTACATATGGAAGGAGTTTAGACGCGTGAAAGACGGGGCATGTCCGAAGATGAGGGGGAATGTCAATCCGGTATGATGGTCCATTGGCCTCCCCTATCACCTTGAGAACTTCCCAGGGTCCTAGATAGACAGGCATCAATTTCTGAGAAACATCCTCTTCTAGAGTGAATTCTTTGGACTTAACCCAGATCAAGTCACCAACTTGAAAAGTAGACGGGCGTCGGTGTTTGTTAGCTTGTTCAATCATGCGCTCTTGGGTTTTCCTCAGATTCTCCTTCACCTTTTTTATGTCTTCTTGAAACATAATGGCATATTCCTTTGTCCCTGGTGGAAGTCTAAGAAATTGATCCCTGGTTAAAACATCAATGGGACGCTTAGGCTTCCAACCCTTGTGCAGTGCGTTAGGTGTGCATCCCGTCGCGATATGCACACTATTGTTATATGCACCGACAATCTTGGGTAAGTTCTCATCCCAGTCTATTTGGTCAGGACGGACATACATTCTCAGAAGTTGTTGGACCATACGGTTCATTTGCTCAGATTGGCCATTCGTTTCAGGGTGTCTACCTGACGACATGGTGAGTCGTGTACCGTAGGCTTCCATCAATTTCTGCCAAGACATGCTTGTGAATCTGACATCGCGGTCAGAGACGATAGACATAGGGAACCCATATTCAGTTACCCATCGCATCTGAAATTTAGCAATCACAAGCTCAGTCTTGGCTTCCGCAGGCAAGGGTATGAACATAGCATATTTAAAGAAACGATCAACCACAACCATAACTTGACTATTGCCATTTCGGGACTTGGTGAGTTTCATAAAGTCAATGGATACAGACTCACCTGGCTCACTCGGTATCGGTAGTGGTCGGAGTAACCCCAAAGGTTTCTCAGTAGGCAGTTTGTTTCTCTGACATACTTGGCATGTACGAACATATGTTAGCACATCCTCTTTCAAATCCTTCCATTCATAGTGCTCACGTACTTCAGCATACGTCTTCTTGAAACCAAAGTGTCCCTCTGTGTCATGACATTCCCCAATCAGCAGACTTTTAAGTTCTTCCTTGTGAGGAATGCATAATCTCTGTTCAGTTTGGTCCAACAAGAAGAGTAAGCCATCAGACAATCGGTAGTGAGAAAGTTGGGATGGATCCTTGGCTAGGATATCCATGATTGGTTTCCAGATAGGGTCAGTGGCATATTCAGCGCGAATCTGAGCTTTCACATCATTCCCAACATCCAGGTAAGAGACGATAGCCCCAAGGAAGTCACTCCTCCTAGATAGTGCGTCTGCTACAACATTAGACTTACCTTTAATTGTTTCGAGTTTGAAATCAAAGGTATCAATAAAAGCAGACCAACGCACCAACTTGTCAGACAATCGAGGTTGTGTCTTGATCCACTTTAGAGTCGAATGGTCCGAGTACACAGTGAAGTGTCTGCCAAGGAGATAGTGTTTCCACGTTTCTAGGGCACAGACTAATGCATATAACTCCCTTTCGTAGGTGGAGTTGGCGACTTTATCGCACGACAGTCGTTTAGACATAAACTCAATAGGGCGGTAGTCCTTGCCGTCGTCTTGTTGTAAGACAGCGCCAACACCATACTGACTTGCGTCAGTCGTAACAATGAAAGGAAGAGACGGGTCGGCAATCTTGAGGACAGGATAGTGAGTTAGAGCATATTTCAGCTTTTGGAAAGACAAATCCCAATCCTTATCCCATAGCCAGACAGTACCTTTCTTAAGCAACCTTCTCATTGGTGCAGCGATAAAAGAAAAGTTCATAACGAACTTCCTATAGTAACTCGCCAAACCAAGAAAAGATCGAAGGTCTGTCAGAGTCTTTGGTTGCGGCCAATCTCTGATTGCCGAGATCTTCTTTTCCTCAGGCCTCAATCCCTCCTCGTTCACTATATGTCCCAAGTATAGGACCTCAGACTTAGCGAATTCGGATTTCTTTGGCTTGAGTTCAAGAGATCCTCGCGTAACTTCCCGAGTACTAGACGTAGATGTTTCTGGTGATCGTCTAGTGTTTTACTATATACTAGAATATCATCCAGATAGACGATGACGAAGTCGTCGAGCCATTGCCTGAACAACTCGTTCATGGACCTTTGGAAGGTCGCAGGTGCGTTCRTTAGACCAAATGGCATCACGATGAACTCGTAATGACCATATCTCGTACGAAACGCGGTCTTATGCTGATCGGCCGGATCCACCTCGATCTGGTGGTACCCAGACTTAAGGTCGATCTTACTAAAGACCTTACAACCCTGCAACTGATCCAGGAGATCATCGATCCTTGGCAAAGGTTCGGCGTTTTTGACGGTGACGGCATTCAACCCTCGGTAATCGATGCAAAGGCGCAACTCACCTTCCTTTTTGGGCACAAACAAGACTGGTGCGCCATAAGGAGAGGAGCTAGGGCGAATCCATCCCTTCTCCGTCAACTCAGACAATTGCTTCTTTAGTTCCTCAAGTTCCTTTGGAGACTTGCGATAGATAGGGCCCTTGGGAACCTTGCTACCGGGCACGATCTCGATCGTGTGCTTGATAGCACGCGAAGTGACCCCGGTAAGCTCAGACATAATATCGGCAAACTCCGTTAGGAGTGCATCTATGCCAGGAGGATGGGTAGTTGAAGACTCTCCTACTATCTTAACTAACAACATTACTACCTCATCCTCTAACTTCTTCTTTGCAACCATCGATCGGAATGCAGGGTAGCTCATGCACCAAAAAAACAAGACAGAGTCAGACCCTGACCGATGATACAACTTAATCGGTTGCAATGTAGATGATTCATCTTTGATCTTTACTTCTTTCAGTTTGAAATCAATCTTGGGATCAGCTTCCTCGTGCCAATCCATTCCCAAGATGATATCAAATGGCATGTTCTTCTCGATTAGGAAGGGAAGCTCATGCCAAATCTTTTTCCCATCCTTAGTACTGAACTGACATCGAATACGATCAACGTACTGCGTTACCGTCATCGTGCTTTTGTCAGCCAACATAGATGTGATTGGTCTAGCTAACGTTTGGATCTTCATGCCGAGGTGCAACTTGCGGATTGCACGTTCAGACATGTAAGATCGTGTGGACCCAGGGTCCAGCATCGCACCAACATGTGTGTGATTGACAACCAAATCGGCAATCAATAGTTCCCACTTAGACTTGGCTTTCTTCGCCCACGAACTGCGTAACGCGACTAGCTCGCTACCCAGCTCGTCAAGGGAGTCGTCCAGAGACAGACATAAGACAGGAGTGGGGATATCTGAACGACGGGCGGAAGGGTTTCCATCCTCTGCCACGGGAGTCGGAGTGTGGAAAGGGATCGTAGGCGCCTTGCATGTGATCGCACTCTCCGACTCTGTAGGAACAGATGTTATTCCTACTGGCTGTTCCCTTTTGAATTCCTAATCAACGGACAAAAGACAATGACATGCCCCGCAGTGCCACATTTGAGGCACTGCGCATTATCCATTTTATCTTGCCACACCTCCCGGGTTAGTCCCATCTTCAGCCACGGTCTGCCGGCCGCAATCCCAGGATGGTATGGGAAGGAGCGTGGTCTTCTCTTCGGTCGAGTGTTCGATGACGGTCCTCCCTTGTTGACCGTCGTAGCGGTGATCTCCCCCTTTCCGGAGTCACTGTTGCTCTCACCACCACCCTCGGACTCCAATGGCCATTTCTCCATTGTATCGTCGTCGAATACGACGAAGGTGTGGTCTTGGCTCTTTTGACGCCATATGACCCGCTTGCCGTAGCCTCCTCGACCGCCTCCTCCTCCATCTTTACGGCAGCAGCATAGGAACCTTTGACTTGCGAAGTCATTTGTTCCCGCTGCAATGCAAGGTCGCGGAACTGGCGGTAGGTATACTTACCTGACTTGGCCTCGGCGACCAAGTGCCCTTGAATCGGTTCGGGCAACGCGCGGGAGTAGATATAAAGGACCTGAGAGTCCTGCAGGTTAAGACCTGGAACCTGCAACAGGCGGTCCACCTTGAGACAATGACTCAACGGAAGACCAGGACTTCTATCCTATCGAGGTGAGTTGGTCGAAGGCCTTATCGGTCGTGGTCTTGTCCAAGAAGCGGTCCTTGACCTTTGCAAGGAACTGCTTCAAGGTCATAGTCTTCGCCCACTCACCTATATCATCAAACCCCGCGGCATTCGCCTCCGCCAGAACCCACTGCTTCACTTCACCACCCATACAAGAAGTGGTGAACGCAACTTGCGACTCTTCTTCTACCGGTGCAGTCCCAACATAGGTCTGGATCTCTGCGATCCATAGTGGAAGGCTTTCTTCTTTCTTATTAGAAAAAGTGAAAGGTAATTTCATCTTCACTTTTTCTTTTTTCTTTGGCTTAGTCGGATCTGCGGGTTTGGCATTGTTCTTAGGAGGGGGAGGGGGACCGTTGGGACCACCATTCCCGTTTCCATTCCCGTCTCCATTTCCGTTTCCATCACCATTCCCGTTGGGTTTCTTTTCTGGTTTCTCTTCCGATTTCTTCTCGGTTTCTTTTACCGTTTCCTTCTTCGTTGTGTCGCTGTTTTTCATTCCACCAACAAGCAACTTCTCGGGCTTGACGTCCGCTCTTCTTTCTTTATCTTTTTTCTCTTCATCGAATGTGTTCTCTTGCGGCCGGGACAACGAATTCCATGTCCCCCGACAGCTGGGAGAGAAGTTCTCCCAATTCACCTCTTCGTGCCTCGATCTGGGCACGTGTACGTGGTTCCATCGAAGAGCTACCTTCTCCCACCGCATAAGGCACGTGCCCAAGACGGAACATATGAGGCACCCACCTGGTCAGCAGAGACTGACGCATGTGTTGAACAATCGGTGCCATGGTTAACGTCAACAGGAAACTTAACAGGCCAATCTTACTCAATAAAAGAAAACAGACAATATTATTGATAACTGACCAGCAACTCAATATCGGTACAACAAAGAATTCACAAGAAAATAAATAAATAAAAATAATTTATTATTTTCTTGATTGATATGTTGTTCTGATTTGTTTTTCTCTCTTATTCGTGTGACGTCTTTATTTCCAGGTAATCGAGCAGGCCTAGGTCGTTAGCATCCGACAGGTATGAGTACATGCACAACCAGACAACAGGTAAGTACCGACAACACAACCAATCAACGTCAATCTTCCCCTCACACAAGGCCACGTCAGCATGCACTCAAATCACCCCAACAGCAGGTAAGCACCACAAGTCAGAGTCTATTGCTCATGCCACTCCCAGCGTCGGAATGCATCAATCGCTTCCCAAGGCAGGTTGTTCCTGCGTCAGCCAACCCCCGGTATGCCAACTCAGCTTTCGCCAAGTCAGCACGTCGAACCAATCAAGATCGTGGGGGGGGGGTGGCTTCAGCGAGGAAAGCTGGCCGTTCCACTTCTTTCCGTTACCCAGATTCGTTCGTGAAGGTGAACTCCAACAATGCTGCGCTTCACAAATCTTCTCGCCGCATCCCAAGTTCAATTAAGTCTGCCACGTCAGCGTCGGATCTCGCCAATGCTAGCGAGTAATCAAGGAGCCAATCAATCAGCTCCAATCTGGCTGGCGAGATAGCAATGCGGCAACTCTATATTGTCGGCGAGACATCATCAGCGCATGAGTAGAAGTTCCCTGCTCCAATCTTCAATGGACGTGGATGTGCCACGTCAGCAATCAATCATCATTGGCAGATAATCTGCCCGTCATCACCATGCCCGTCGCGCACGTCGTCGGGCTCAATGTCTAGACAGCGTGTTGAAAAACACGCGCGACAATAATGTCGCGAAAGAGAGAGTATCCCGTCACTTACTTACCTGGCGCGCGCGACCTTGGAGAGAAACTGGCGCGTCGTAATCATAGCGCGTCAGAACAACGCGTGCGCCGTGAAGACAATGTTGGAAGTGAATGCTCCGATACCAAACTGCAATGTGCCCAGTCGTGATAATCAGTCGTCACTCGCAAAGACAAAATAGACGAACGCTGCTGATAAATCATAATAATAATGATCCCAAAATGAGAGAGAATGCATACACARACGAGAGAGGGAGGAGGGAGAATAGACTTTGAGAGGGTGGAAGAGTCTCCTCCCTACAGCCCACTTCCTCTTCGGGCACTTCCTCCTCCTAACCGCATAATCGTGTCTCAATCAGAGATCCGGATATCCAAGACAATGTAGACCAATAGTGCCACGTGGCACCAGCAGACCAGYCATCAAGCAGCAACGTGACGACGAAGTTGAAGACACCAGGTACGTATCACGACCCAAACCACAGTCYTGGATCCTTCTTCCGAATACTTGTCAAGCAGAACAGCAATATAGGCGCCCAGCGCCTTYCATCTCAGCAGCAATACTACGCGGCAGCAGCCACRAAGATAACACRTGGCATCTGCCACGTCGATAACCCCTCAGACAGTAGTGYGCCAGCCAGCATGCTGGTCRCACAGCACACTCAAGCCACGAACCAGCGACGAGCGCCGGTCGTCAAGTTCTCCGCAGCGTCTCGCCAGCAAGACAGCATAGAGCCGGCATTGACGCGAGAGCGTCGAGTCCCCATAGACTCCAGACGAGAGTCTAGATGTCAAAGCCAGGAAATCAGCCTAATATGTAGTGTTGACGGCGGGGTCTGGGCCCCAGTCCTCAAGTCAGACACGGCCGAGATCGATTGCCGTCGATGACCTGGATTGGGTTGAAACTGTATCCTCCTTGGTCCACCGTTCTGACTGGGTACCTGCACTCATACAAGTCGATGCACACGACCAAGGGCCTGGGCGAGGTTCCTGGACCTACAGTTYACTTTGACCTTTGAATTTCTTGYTGTGCGCGGTCACACAGTCACCCGCAGCGGCCTGAGGCCGAGCAGCGCGTGGTCGCACTGCTCGCTGGGCCTGGGCTTGGGTTACAGCGCCCAGGCCGCTGCTGAACGCGGTTTACTGCACATGTATGATCATCGGAGTGTAACAACAGCGAAGTGTATACGCCAGAGCTTTGCGAAGACGTACGGGGAGCAGCTTGTTCTAGTAAGGACTGACGACGACTCTAATTCCTGGAATTTCCTGGGGACCAGGGCTGCAGCGTTACCAGGCCCGATCAAGTTCGTCATCCGTCCCAGGCATAAGAATGAAGAAGTAATGCTGGAGGAACCGCTCACCTTCAGGTGTTTCCAAGACTTCACGTCGTACTCAGATAAACGAGCAAAAGCTGGCACAGTGATTGCTGCACTTCACAGGATCAAGCAACATGCGAGTGACCCAGCAACAGGTGTCCCAGCGACGCTTTCCATCAGCATTGAGCTGGGGCGCCGGGGGTAGCCCCCGGCGCTCTTTTCCAATGCCCTGGCAGTATTTGCCAGGGCCACCGGTTCGTTCGGAGCAGCGTTGAAGACGCTGACCGAACAACTGGTTAATTCAGTAAATGGTAAACCCCCCACGGTAACTGAGCAAGTGGAAGGAAGCGGGGAGGCTGTGAGAGGCGGTATACAAGCAGCCGTGTACAGTAACATAGATAGACAGAGTTAACCTGAGAACGGGAGGCGCAGACCCCCTAGTAGTAGGCCCCGGTAAGAACCGGGTTGTACATTAGGAATTAGAAAACAGGTTTGGAATTAGAAAACAGACCCTACCCAGACAGGACACTGGGGTGTACACTAGACACGTGTGTGATGGCCCGAATAATAGGAGAGGATGTAGCCCAGTCACGGAGTAGGGAATACGGGGAAATAGGAGGACGAGGTAGGTGCTGGAGTAGGAACGGGTACCAGGTGTATATCGGCAGGTGGGTAGGCAGTAGGGACTAGTCCAACGTCATTGGGGCCAGTAGGGCCGGAACCGGGACACTGGCGGGTGGGCCGTTTTAGACTGTAATGTACCTAACGTATAAGTCAGGCCTGGTACGACGGAAATTTATGGCCCCAGATGGCCTACTTCGCAGCGCAGGCTTCTACCACCGGCCACTACACGTGCGAATTTGTATTTCTGGCCGGAAGGAGGAGCATGTGTACGTGCACGCCAGGTCAGTTACGAGCATGCGTACGTGCACGCCAGGTCAGTTACGAGCAAGCACAGTCGACGTCCGCCTAGCCAGTTGCTGTACTCGTGCCGTCAGAGTGCGGACGTGGAGACGACTATTTGTTCAGAGGGCAAGGCCAGAACGGCCCTCTTTGCTCTGGGCGGATTGCTGCGGTGGATGCGGGAGTGTGGTGGCCCCTTGATAAGTCCTGGTGCGCAGCCAGGCGAAACGCGTTGGGGAATGTGCGCGTTGAGCTGATTGTCCGTGCAGGTGCTTTATTTCTCATTGTTGAGACATGGACACATAGCGATTGGCCTCGCTGTTTCAATTCTTCTTCTTCTTCTTCTTTTTTTTTTTTTTTTTTTTTTTTTTTTTTGAGAATAGCCCTTGCGATATCCCTCAACCTCCATCCGAACATCCCTTTTGTACTGCGTCCACCTGCCAGCATTGATTGCCAGCAGTGGCATGCAGGCAGGTGGACACTGTACAAAAGGGATGTCCACCAGCCATCTGCTCATCAGGATTCCAAGTTCCAACGCATGATCTGTTTACGAGCGGTTACATGCATTCGACCACAAGGAAGGGCCAGGTACAGGTACAGGTTCAGGTTCTTCCAGTGCTCCAAGTGTGACCATGATGTCTCCAAATCAGGGGACTCCCCCACTTATAGGATAGCAAACCCCTCCTCCTTTGCTTGCAAATGACGTTAAGTCCTTCGCTGAGGTTGAGGCTCTGCGATGTATATCGTGTGTCGTTCTCTCTGTAGCAGCGACATGAAGGAACCGACGGGCAAATGGGCCGTGGACTCATCGCACACACGCCACAGTGACCGTCATGAATGAATAATGATTGCTAACCCATTTCAAGTTTCAACCACATAATATTGTGGATGGAAAACAGTTCTGTTTTCGGACGATTGACAACCGCAATGATGATACTGTGGGCGATACGCATGACAGCAGTAGCTCCTATAGAAAAAAAAAGAGGTAATAAGAAAAAGGAAAAAAAAAAAAGAGGTAATAAAAAAAAAGGAAAAAAAAAAAGGTAATTATTAATGAATAACTTAGAATAAGTACTGTGATATAAATTCATGTAAAAAAAATAATTAATAATAATAAAAAAGAAAAAAAGAAAAAAGAAAAAAGAAAAATAATAAATAAATTCATGTAATGGTATGAGGCACCATCCAAAGGAACAGTGCAGTTTTCTCTGTCTCTGAAGCCACCACGGATCCAGACTTTCTTTTTTCTTTTTTTTTTTCTTTTTCTTTTTTTTTTGACCAGAATCAATCATCAGGAAATGTTTGACAGTGGTTTGCCTGCCTGTTGCTGGAACTACAGTCTTCACCCGAATAAATACAATGTTTGGTCACTATAGCTACATTTGGCCCACTTTTGAGTCTAGATTCAGTTATATATAATGACCATACGTTGTATTTGGGCCCCGAACACGGCAGCACAAACTGAACACCAACACCATTGGAGGCCCACGGGTAATCAATGCTGGCAGGGAGTTATACCACAATTACAATGTTCGAAGGGACGCTAGACCGGTTCATCCTGAGGTTCGAATATGACCCGGTTCATCCTTCGGGTTCGAATATGAGCGTCGTCATCTCACTATATGTGCTGGGACACCTCGGAAGGTACGAAGTACGAAGTCCTTCTTCGCTTAGACGCTTAGATTTCTAAGCGAATGCCATACATTGGGACAAGTAGGTTATGAGCAGGAAACCACAAAAAAAGTACGGCCGCTCGCCCTTCCAGCAGGTGCTGCTCCCCACCAATATAGATTGAGCCTCTCCGGGGGTGCTCGTGGTGTCTGCTCCTATC